TCAAAAACTGCCATGTTGCCATCAGTAATCACTGGAGAAGATCACTGCTGGATACCAGGGTGTATACTAGTGTTCCGTGTAAGCTGTGCACTTGTGTGGACGTGCAGAAGAGATTCCAGTGCCGACCAGCTGATTAGCAGAGTGCTCACAGCTAGGCTTGTGTTTCTCCTGGTGGTGCACATGGCTGGAAAAAGATTAGAGGGGTCATTGGTGCATACAAGTGCTGATCTCAGAAGTGAGTGCAGTCTTGTTTAGGTGAGTCCAATAAAACCAAAAAAGGTAACACTACGCATGGCAGAGAGCTAGTAGACTCAGCAGTATAGGTGTATTTCAAGCTGCAACTTAGCAACAAATTTGAATAGTTAAAGACACAAAAAACAAGGGCAGTTTTCCCAAGAAGCAAGTGTGGAAATAGCCAGGGCTTTAGTGGAGATGATGAGATCAAATGAAGAAGAATGGTTCCAACCAAATAAGTGGCGTGTACTGAAGAGAGGAAATAGTAAAAGGTGAATATTCAGTAAGAGAGCCGTTCTGCAGCAAGACTATGCAGACAACGATGAGGAAGTTAGAAGAGATAGGATGGAATAGATGGAAAATAAAGCAGGAGAAGCTGAGGTGGCATACAAAGAGAGGATTCTAAAAAAAGTGTGTTTTCTAATAGTGATAGAGGTGAGCCTAGGTGTCTTGTTCCCAGGGAATAAAATGTTTTGGGGAAGGCAAATTCTCTGGCCGTTGATTTGTTGCCTGCTGAAAATTGGCACCAAAGATGATGACCATCCTGATGGATCAGCCGCTGCAAAGGTGTGCCCAGTGTAGTGACTTGGTTCCATCCCTCTTTCTCCTAACTGGTGGCAGTTCTGCTTCTTTACTTCCACACTGGTGGAAATTATAGTGAAGAAGAACATGGGCGGGCCTCTTTCATAGCCTGCTCTTGTTGCTAATCTATGTGTTAGTCATCGGGTTGGAGCATAGTGAAACTTCTTGTGTCCCATTCACAGATCAAATGTACTCCTCTCGAGAATGTGCCAGGGAGCAGACATCCTCCATTTGCTACACAATTGGTATCTCAGTGGTGCTGTGAAGGTCTGAATTGAAAGGGTGTTTTGTGACTGCAGTACAGGGTAGATGGTTAACTTTTCAGTTGGAAGGCTGACAGTCTCCAAAATCCTTCCATTAGCAAGGCTTCATTCCTTCCTGAGCTTCACCAGGTCTCCTCTTGCATTCTGGATAAACAGACAACAGAGAGATCTTCCAGGATGCTAGAAGGCCATTTTACTGGGTATTTACTAGCTCCTAGACAATAACTGCTTTCTTTGAGTAAGAGTAGTTAAACATTTTAGCTCCCCATGTCAGCCACTGGCTCCTCTGCAAAGCATGAATTTAGGTTTGAAGACTTTGCATATTTCTTCATTGGAACTAATTTCCTCTGTTGCTTTTGTTGATCTGTGGAAGCCAGTCAAATAGTAGCGTTTTCAAGTATACGCTGTAGCTAATTAAAAGATTGTTATAGATTTGGAAGTCCTCAGGCTGATGAGGCTGAGAAGAAGTTATTATTTGGCTAACTTGTGGTGTGAGATAAGGACTGTTTGGTTGACACCTTTTCTATTGCAGCAGTAGGAGCTACTTTTCCATTATTTACTGGTGTAACATGCATTCTGCACAAATGATGCATTTCTCTTTTAAAATAGAACCTGAGTTTGTTCTAATGGCCTTTTGGCAAATTACTAAATTTTGTGAACAAATGATTGGCACAATGTATGGCTTGAAAGGCTGCACAGGCCAAAATACACTGAAACACTTCAGTGGATACAACATATCAAATAAATAGTATTTGATATGAATGTACCTTGAACATGCTGATCATTGTACAATCCAAGGATTTACATATTGTTGAAGCAGTTGTTGCCAGTTTTCAAGTTTATGAATAACCAAACTGAAAATTAGAAAGAACTAAATTCAGTAAATACCTCTACCATTTGTTCATTTGAGGTTCTGCGAGTAGTATATTGAAAAATCGTGGTGTCAAATCACCCAGTCTTTTGCCTACTAAAACTGAGAGAGAGAAAAGTTTGAATACAGAGCTGTCTTGTTTCCAAATTGTTTAACTCAGTCAATGAAACATTTAAAGTACCCTTTAATAAACTGGATTTTTTTGTAATAGAAACAGCACTTCATGTGTACAGAGGAAAAAAATTGACTTGTATCTGTGAAGGAGATGATAATCAGCCATAAACAGATAAAAGAATCCATTTCAGAGATTAGTTTGATTTAAGAAAAAAAACACATTAAAATTACTGTCTAAAATAAACACAGTTGTGCATTTTTGGTAAATGGAGAAAAATACTTCCAACTTCCTTGCCGGGGGGTCTTCTGGGTGAAAGATGCAAGCACTTTAGCGTATAGTTAAGAGTGTATTGTTCTACACTTAAAATGTTTTATGGTTTGAAGATCTTTTTTATGGCTTGTGTTAAGCTTTTTCATTTTGTAAATAGACAAAATGCTAGAAAAAATACTAATCTTAAACTAAATCTAAATTACCTAAATGTCTCAGAAATAATTTGAGACTATAAAAACAAGATGATCACAAGTTACCAATTACTCTGTTGTTTTAGTTTCACAGTTGAATGTTAGAGCTACTGTAAGTGAAGTCTTGTGATGGTATGATGTTTATAATCCCCTGCAGAGATAGCGAGGGCAGACTGAGTGAGTTGCTTCTTCCCTAACCTGCTTGGCATCCCGTATGTCTGCACAGCATTTTGGAGTGAGCTTGCTCTCTTGGTCTTGCAGGGCTCTCACTAGTGCTTTTACAATAGCTGTGTAGAGAGTGCTTGGAAGCTGTGACTTGGGGTCTGAAACTCACGGGAGAGGTGGGCTTCAGATCTTGTTCTGAAGACTATCCTGTCAGCAGGCTTCTCCTTTCCCCCATTTCCCATTTGCCATTGAATGCGAATGTCAAAGAGGATCTTTTCCCCAGGTGTTTGTTTTTATGGGTCCTGTGATGACTGGAGAGTTTGATTCTTGAGCTACAGGCTCGTTGGCAGACGTTGCAGGTGGTACAGAAAGTCAGGGTTGGGCTGTGATTGCTCTGTGACATTTACCTTTTTTTTTTTTTTTTTTTTTTTTTTTTATCCTGGCATTTTTCTGTGACCAGACCTTTGGATGCATTATGTCAGCATTTTAAAAAGAAAAATCCATATTGTATGTTTATTGTACTGGAAGTGTGTAAATGTTCTGATGTACTAAGGTACAGCCTATTTCAGTAACTCTTATAATAAGAGGGAAGGCTCAAGTTATCTGAGGTAAAAAAAATCTAGATTCTCCAGTGTTGTAAATATTTTCAGTTGTAATTGTATCTAAATAATGCCTTATAATCAAGGATAACTTAAACCTCTTAATTTAGTCCAAGTCCTGTTTAACACTAAAGGAATACACCAGCAATGATGGTTTGTTTCATGGATCCTTATAATTGCAGTTGGTCCTGGTAGTCATGATAGGTAAACTCTGCACTGAGCCATGTTTGCAGGATCAAGTCATGACTTCTGAACCATGTTTGTGTATGATGAGAATCCATATTAAAACAGATCTATATTCTCTGTGTTTTGTTACTGCCATTGCTCTCTCTGCACTGCTCCCATTGACTGCAGTGTATGTACTGTGCCTGTAGGACTTATAACAACAGGTTCTGACATACTAGGTGTCTCAATATTTTGGCCGTGTGTAGAGGTAATTGCTCACCCAAAACAGGTAACTATGTTCCCTCTTTTCCCCTTTTTACATCTGTAGATGTGCGTTCTGACATTAAGGCCTCAATCCAGCAAACACTTAAGCATATGCTCAGTTGTAAGCATGTGAGTAATCCCACAGACATAAATGAAACTGCTTTAGTGCTTGGTCTTAAGCACGTTTGAGTACTCTGCTGGATTTGGGACTTCAGAAAAAATGAAATAAAATTTCATTGTCACAGTTTCAGAGGAAGGGCACTTATATTCTCCCAGGCTCTCTGCCCATCCCCAGCATCCCTGGTCCCCACTGCTTCACTTGGACTTTTACCCCTGACACCTACTGCTTATCCTCCCCCCCATTGCCCCAAGCTCCTCTTTGCAGCCTTGCATGACCCTAGGGGTTCCACAATTGAGTCTGCTGCCACCCTGATCTGATTTTCCCTGCTCTGGGTGCTATTTAGCAGGAGTGCACAGTGTCAGTGCCTTTCCCAGGCACATCCCCCTTAGCTGCACTCAGCCTCACTCCCACCTCAGCAGAAATATGGGGGGGACGTGTGGTCCTGCATGTCTCCCCCTTCAAGTCACCTATGATTAATACAGCAAGAGCTAGGAGAGTGTCAGACTATAGGCACTCCTAAAAACCCACTTGATAACTTTTCTATCCTTCCCCTCTGGTTGTGTCCTTACCCACTCCCCCCAAAATCTCTTGATGCTTTCAAAGCATGCTTCTGCTTTGCATTTTAATTTAACCTGGGGTATGTATGGGCCTTACAATGGCAGCTGCTTTGAAAATTAATGCCAAGAAAGTTTCAGAAACTAATCAAGGGAGAGCACTAACATTAACTAAATTCCTTTTTGTATAGTCAGCAGCATACTTCATGATTTACATGTCAGTGAATGTATAAAATCTAGTTGCATCAGCATAACTGAGATTCTTTTGTGCCTAGGAAAGCAGATTATCCTCTTTAAAAGGTTTGTGTGTTTGTCTGCAAAGACACTCACAGCCTATTAATATATAGCAGTGTTTGGAAATCACCTGCCAGAGCTAGGGAGGCCAACTTCAGAAAACAGTAGGTAGTAAGGGACTTCTGTACTATCAGGGTGGTACTATCTTTGCCATAATTTCACCAAATAAGCATGTTTTGTCATCAGTAAGACTTGAGTGCCTATAGTTCTCCAGGTTCAGTTTTATATGGAGAAGTATAAAACCTTTTGGTCATATGTTATCTACTCCTGCTGTCGTCATACTTCCTTATAACATCCTGTTGCTTATTCTAGAGCACTCCCTCTTCACGAAACAGAAGCTTGTCTCTGCTTCCTCTTGGGATGAATAATTCTGCATCTCCTGGTAGTCAAAAACATCAGAGTCAAAGTGGACCAACTGTTGTTACCGTTACACATCACAAATCGCCTGCAGCAGCCCGGAGAGCCAAGAGTCAGTATTCTGGTCAACTTCATGAAGTCAGAGAGGTAGGTGTTATGTGGTGTTTCCTTGTGGGCATGGGAGCTCCAAATACCCTATTGTTCTTATTATTTTGAGTACATATGCTGTCTTAGAAGAATTTGTAATGGTTTAAATAAAATTAACCTCATTTTTATCCTATAGTGTAGTAAAAATGGATATACAGCCTGTCTTAATGGATATTTGTATAGCTTTACATTAAATTTCTATAAGTACATAGTTTACCCTTTTATTGTTAAAAATAGGATTTTGATAAGCTAATTACATAACTACTAGGTATTTTAGCCAATTAAAAATACTCCAATCATGTGGTTAAGAACTAAGTAGACTTTCCCTGAGTTGTAGTGGGTAGGAAACCTGTTGAGGATTACTGATTTTGAAAATTTGCAAGTAACCAAACATCTCATTAAAAGCATGAAAAATTGAAATTCTATATGTTAACAAGTTATTTCATTTGATAACATTTCATAATATACCAGTAAACATATTATTTGTTTTATCACATTTTGTAATATTGGATACAATTTTGTGGTTGTTCTTTCAAAAGTTTACAGCGGAACACTGTTTTAATACAGCTTTGAAACGTTAACATGCGGAAGAAAAATGCTGCTTTTAACCGTCTCTCTATATAAAAAAGTTTTTTCCTGCTGGGAGCTACAGAATGATGCCATCATGTCAACAGGCTTGGGGGGAGGGGCGGTAGATGAGACTGAGAGATTTTCCCCAGTGACGCTGCGACGCTGGGGGAAGAAGCAGCGATGAGGCAGGCCCCTGGCTCCGTTTGGGGTGGCCCGTTACAATGAGCATTGACTGGAGTGTGTGGTGCTCCGCTGCTGGGGGAGAAGAGGTGAGCTCAGAGTACTGCAGAGAGGAGGGGAAGGCCCAGCTACAGCCTGTGCTATCAGCGTGTGCAGCATGGAAAAGTCCTGAGCATGGGTCAGTGGTCGCACCACAAAGGGCTCTTTGCATGCCACCCACCTCCCTTGCAGGCGAAGCCGAAGTGGAGGAAGCCCTGGGGCAGCATGGTCTGCACTGGGGGGAGAAGAGGTGAGCTCAGAGTACTGCAGAGAGGAGGGGAAGGCCCAGCTACAGCCTGTGCTATCAGCGTGTGCAGCATGGAAAAGTCCTGAGCATGGGTCAGTGGTCGCACCACAAAGGGCTCTTTGCATGCCACCCACCTCCCTTGCAGGCGAAGCCGAAGTGGAGGAAGCCCTGGGGCAGCATGGTCTGCACTGGA